ACTGCCATCATTCCATTAAGTTTTATTAATACACTGCGTTTCATAATTATAGGTCCACCCTAAATTTTTGCTACCCCAAAGTTGCTGTGCATTTTTTGGAAATGCTGCTATCACCGTTAGATTCCTCATCACGGAAAACCTTCATAGTGTTTTTCTGACAAATTCCCCCCTCAAGTAACCCAATTAACTTTTTTAGAACGAATTTTCACCGTTTCATGAATATCGGGCCCACTCATAAAAAGTTTCCATTTCTCACGATCCGTGAAGGGAATCAGGGAAGCGGGGAAATATGTGGGCTCAGTCGACATCGAGTTTACCATACCTCGTGTTATTCGCCTCTCTTCCCAGTAACAAGCTCAAGCTAGAGCACTTACTGAAGTGGGATAGCTGAGGAGCAGAATTTCCTCCCATGTCGGCCGGCTCATACTGCATAAGCGACTATGTGCAAAATCCTGGTCAGTGCGGAGAGAAGAGTCGCTTAGGTAAATAAAGACTGCGTTTCCTTCAAAATTTAGGAGGAATTGGGTGTCTTCTCTCGAATTATACAAGGAGTCCGAACAAAGTCCGTACTGAAATGCGGCCTTCCGTGAGCAAAACCACCGTGTGGTGAGTAAGCCAGCAGAGCAATAACATCTTCAACGGATTGATGAAGAGCGTTCCAAGATTATTTGAGCGCTACAAGATCGCAAGTCTCCATTTCTCCGTGGAAAAGGGCTCAACTTAATGAGCGATGGTGTGGCTGTTAAGACCCTTCGCGATCTTGGACTCTACCTCCTTGTTTCGTTCTACAGGTGGTCTGAGATCGACGTGGAAAAGTTTATTCTAGGTGGATATGGCAGAAAAAGAGGGTACAGGATGATCGCGTGAAAATCGCAGATGGTTTCAATGTAACGTAATTTCGGCGGTGAATCCCTTATGGTTTGAGGCACCTTTGAACGACTGAGTAGCTAGAGCTCGCTTTTGTTTCCGTTCACAAAGATTCCACAGGGTATCGTGAAGTTCTTTCGAAGCGAGTCTTACCATTTTTTCAACAAGGATCCCCTCTATCCTTGATTTTCACACACGATAACGCGGCTGTCCATGCCGGTCCCTCCGCGCCAGATGGAATTGCAGGAAAAAATGTGGCAGTTATCTGGTGGCCACCATGTTATCTGAATTAGATTCCAATAGAGAATCATTGGGCCTTAATTGTTATAAAGTTCCACAGCAAAGTAAAGCAAAATGGAACAGGCCGAGAGAGAGCGTGAGAGAAAAGGGATCATCGGCGCCCAGACGAATTTCGATCCTACTGTAATAGCTAATTTGGCTACCAGCATTTCAAAACGTATTATTGTGTTCCTTATGATTATTGGGGGGTCATCCCATTATTGAAAAATTCGTGACGTTTTTTCGTTATAGTAAAATCTCTCGACAAGTGATGTGTAGTCATATTTGCGAAACGGTGAAAATACGTTCTAAGGAAGATATTTTAATAATTCTGAATCGAGATTTCTCCAGAAATCAAGTATCAAGGTTTTTCGTTATGGGGAAACTATTGGTAATAGCGGCATTTTCCAAAAATGCACAGCAACTTTGGAATAGCAAAAAATTAGGGTGGACCTATATTTATGAAACGCAGTGTATGAGACTCTCTAAGTTTATTTCACATTTGCATTTTCTAAAACCAGTCAAGGGATGTTGTCCACAGTAGGTTGGCATTGGCTTAATCCGAAGATTAAATACTTTCGTTAGCTATCGAGTTTTTGAAGTCGTCTAACTGATGTGCTTGCGCAGCACAACTTTTACTTACTGAGCGACCAATCAACTGCACAGATTTGGCCCATGCGAGACAATATCCAATGTAATCTTCGGGTTTGAACGAAAATTAGAATTGCGGGTCGATGATTTCAAGACCAGTGAGACCAATGATTCTTTGGGACAGTGCTGGTATCGGTCTGAACAGCGAATCACAGCTCGATCACCTATGCGATCGAACTCTCTGCAGAGCGTGCCTTTTGACTGTCAACTGTCCGTTCTGCGCCTATTCGACCACGGAAAAGAACCGGTCGGCACTTGTTGAATTTGTACCTGCATTTTCGGGTTGAGCAAGGCTATCGCATAGTGGGACGAGCTCGAGGTAGTTGAGCGGAGCTTGTGCTTGAACAGGTCCTTTGTTTAACTTAACTCCCATCCAAATCCCCTCCCCCCCCCCTCCCCCCCCCCGCCGCTCGTTGTTTTCATTTTATGGAGGAACAGGAGCCAGATGGTCTCGCTTCTCAAATACTGCGAACAGCCGATGATGTGAGCGGGCAGGGTGGGACGGGAGACCGTGTCACCCATAAGGTTCACTGGGGTGCACCGAGAACTTCCTGAGGGTGGGGTCCATTTTTTTAAAAAAGTGCGACCGTGACGGTTGACCCTGCCTTGAGAGCCGTTGGTATTGCCGCTAACATGCTATCATGGGCTTCCTCTGAATGGAAAACGACGTTGTCTCCGGCATCTCTCATTCTCGCTGTCACTTTTTCCGACTATCAAAGTGCTGGATATGGGTAGATAAAGGTATGGAGATTGGACCACATATCTTCACTTGTTTCGCCTCAGCCAACATGCGCGAGAATCCCCTTTTTTGTTAAGTTGTTTTCTTGTTCAGAGCTGTGTAAACTAAGCAGCCACCAAATCACTAATGCGAAAGTATTAAAGGCACGCCTCGGGATGAGCACACCTGTTCCTATCCCCGATTGGCCGGGTATCTAGGGCCGAACAAAGTCCGTGCTCCCTTTGTCGGCGTGACAGTGCGCGGTAAACCGCACTGGAGCTCACTTCCACCGCGATCCACACCCTTAAGTGCGCACAGCCCGCACAATCCTCCGTCGCTTCCACGTTCGGCCCTGGCGAAACAGGGACCGCAGCTGCGGCAGTGTTAGGTTCCGACTCAGTGTCGCGCATCCTATTCGTGGTGTGAGGGGTCGTTGAACCTATCCAGCCTATCAAACATCGTCTAGAAGGGATAAACAATATCGACAAGATCCAAATATACAATTAAAAAAAATCAAAAAAGAAGCATAGAAAGGAAGGATTTCCGAAAAAAAGAGAGTTATCTATAGCGAACGCTGTCGCGCCGAATTTCTTGTCCCATTTTCTAGCCGAGAGTCAACCAATGACACGGCAGCTTTAGCTCTCTGTTTGTAAAGCCTCGTTTCAAACCCCGTTTCTTCCATAGGTGAATTGACTGAATCGAGGGAATGCTTTGTTCGCGGCGCAGCCCTGAGCCTTCTTCTGATTCAATTTCATTTTCACATCGCTGCCCCGGCTCAAACCTTTATAATGAGCGCCCCGCCGCCCTCACTTATCTCCCGGAAGCTTGGCATTACCACGCACCTTGCGCGAAGCTCCTTTGGAACCAAATTTCCTGAAGTTAACAAACCACTGATTCAGCAACCGCTCGAAGATGATCAACCTCGTCCAGGAAAAAGCACACCACACTATTGAAAGAAAGGCGGGCGTTACAATGCAAAGTAACCATTCGCTTATTTGCACAACGTACGATACACAACCTGCGTCTCGAAAAGCTTTGTGAAGTTGCAGAGTACCATCGACCTACTGATGGTTGTACATATGTGCAAGTCAAAGGTTAAACGTAAGGAGAATAGTAAGTCTATTTGAAGCCTATTTGAAGCTGAAGCAAGCTATATGGAAGCATAAAAATCAACTCGACGTCCAATAGCTCATTAGCGCTTTGTGAGCGGGTGGCCTACGATGAGAATTGACTATAAACTTGCCACCTAGGTATGCAGCCAGGATACTTCGATCCACAAGTGAAGCAAAACCCCGGGGATTCACACTGTGCTTCTATTTAGTCTGTCTTTCGTGGTATAGCTTAGCTGCGGAAACGACCTGAAAGTGGAAGGAAAGCAAGAGAAGTCTTTGAGAACGCTGAAACTAAGGCCTTAACCTTCAGTAAGGTCGGATGTGGTACGATGGCGAGACAGGGCGGTCAAAGAAGACAAAATACGCGAGAGAGCACGTCGTTTGAGATTCTGCACTCTTCAATGGCACCCCGCTGATCTAACCAATGCGCGTGGTGGCAGAAAGCGTTGGAAGCGGGGTCGATGGTTGCAAGGCCCGTAAGGACTAGCGTCCTAACCGCGCAATTTTAGCGACGAAGCTGGAGTGATCTAGGTAGGTACGGACCTTACAATTCTTCTCGTGGTATCCCTCCTACTAGTCGGGCTAATCCCGGGGTTTGCCTTTAACAACTGTTTGCTATGAAATCGCGTGGCGGGTGCGTTGTTGTCGTCAGGAGCATTCATTGTCAAAGGCAAGTTTATCCTGCACAGATCTAGAACCCTCTAACCATGTTGCTGTGATGGAACAAAAACGAGATCGCTGCCATTGTTTTGATATGTACGCCACAAGATTTTGGCCTCACAGCCCACTACACTTCGCGCTTATCGTGCACAGGACATCACTCCACAGATTGCACAGCAGACTGAACTCCCAGCTCCAGAGAGCTTACAATTTTTTCGCTTTTTTGGATTTTCTCACATCACTATAAGAATGAATTTTATTGCCAGTTTCCTGCTATGCGATGACCTATCCGTAATTCCTCTTCCCGGCATAGTACAACAACAAAGAAGGAGAACAAGAACAGAGGATTTCAAGGAAATTACGTCACCTATAGCCACTATTCCTTTTTCAGTAATCGGAGATGGTATATCATTACGTAGTGCAGAGAATATTGTTGAAGTCACGGGGAAATGTTTTTCAGCTTGTGATGTTCGTAAAATGTTGAGTAAATCAAAATGATTTCAAAACTTTTTGCATAGTACAGGACACTATTCACGTCATTGGGAAGGTATAAATGGCCGAATCTATTCCTACGGTCATTCGAAGGTTTACTGCTCGCAGATATAGTTGCTCGCCATCAGCTGAAGGCTTACGTACATTGGCTGTCACACTTCGGTGGTCTAGCTATTTTAATAACTAATGTTTGAAGTGCCTTTTAGGATTTCAGTTTCAGAGTCTCTGGTCCTCGCAGTGCCCCGAACAACATATTCCCCACGGATATTCCCATCTCCCCTTCTGCTTCGCCAGTATGCCGACTTTTGATTCTGGCGAAATTTTCTTCTCCGAAGGTCTAGGTCACGTTTGGATGGCGTTACTGACTTTAAATATAATCCCCCGTCCAAATTGTACGTCCACCCGCAGCGACGGAACAACCACCTATGCATGAAACGCTGAGACTCAAAGAGCGCAGATTTCAAGTACAGGGTTGGAAATTGAGCGGACATAGTTTAGAAATGAGCAGTCCGATGTCTCAACAACACAAAATAATTCCCTGGAATATTCGCCTCGAGACAGACCGCCCTATCCAATTGTGTCCACCGCGTTTTAAATTTAAAGATCGTATTCACCGCCCATTGTGTCCGCCGCATTTTAAATGTAAAGAATCCGCTATCGTCAACATGTGCATGGATACCTACCGTAATCACCTGAAGCGACTGCATAATTCGTCGATCGAGTTGATGGTCTACAGATTTCTGAGGTTCTCTGCTTCAGCTGTGCAGAATTCCTGCCATCCTGTCTCCGGGACCAACGTCGCTATGGCTCACAATCTCAAAACAGTGCCGTTTCGAAAATCGGCAACCACTGTGCTGTTGATGTGGGCTGGAGCTCAAAGAAGGAAGGCTGATCTCGTGTCTATGCAGCTTTGAATCAAAGTGAACGCTATCTAGCAAATCTAGCTACAATCTTCATACTTGACGAAAACGCTTTCCCACGCCTCAGCTATGGCATTGCAACATCATGGCAACCTCGTGGTACTGGGTGCTTTCACAGTTATTGGAAAAAAAAACCAAGTTACTTGGGATCAGAAAGAGTGGGGACCTACAGAACGGCATTTGCCAGTGTATCACCGGTATTCCATACTCTCGAGCACGCAGTACGGGCATAGTTTTAGGTCTGTGAAAGTAAGTCGAGAATCTCGGTGATTCCGAGTTCATGCCTACTCTCCTGGCAAGCTCTTCTGGTGTCGCCGTATTTTGGAAAGCTGCTGATATTTATTTAGTGTGTAGTTGGGAATACCTGGTTAGGATTCGTTTATGTGAATTAATAGTGATCAGAATGCATGAAAAAGTGATTGTTAGGTAACCTTCATTTATACGTTTTTGTAAGCGGCGGTTTCGGCCTTGCAACTAGCAAGGACGTAGCTTAAGAGGTTAAAACTAAAATTTCTCAGAATTGTACCTACGATTCCATTAACATTTGTACGGCTTGTAGTACTCCATATGCTCTTTTTCATTCATCGCTAATTTCTCACGCTTCTTCCCATCTCATTACTCTTCCTGTGTCCTACTTTTCTTCTTTCTGCTTCTCTATTGTTCTTCTTTTATCTCTTCGTCTTAATGACCTCCCTCATCTTCTCGTTGCTCTTACTAGCGCTTCACCTGCCTCTCTCTCTGCCACATTTTGTTGCTACCTCTTCTATCTTGGGAGGTTAGTCACTTATTGGCACGATTCCTTCGATGCTTTTATTGTTGCTCCTCACCGTTGTCATACTCTTTTTCTTCACCACCAGCGGAATGGGGCCTTCCTTCAAAGTCTGTTCGGGTCTGCTCAATCTCCCCTCTCACAATGATGAAGGAGCTGCGAAGAGTTTCTGCTAGATCCGCTTCCTTTTTCATCTTTCCGACTGTTTATTTTTTTTTCGAGAAGAAGCAGCAAATTTTCCGCCAAGCTCAGAAGAAATCGTTAACCCAGTCGCGACCGCGCGGGATTGCGCAATAGCAGGAGAGTCAGGAGATTTTTCTTCAATAAAATTTGAGTGGATGGAGATTTCCTCTGCCCAGGGCTGGCGTAGATGAGCGAGGGTATGAAGATTCTTTTCATGAAAGAAAACTTCACGGCGGCCACCGGTGATGAGATGAGGGTGTCCTGTCAAGAAGAAAAAAAACTTTCAAATTTAATTCGAAACACAGGCATACGGTGATACCATAGTCCAAGTGAATCTTGGGCGGCCCGAGTGGCTGCCATCATCACGAATGGGTTAAGCAGCGCTGAGTGTAGATGATGCAGACAACGAAGATTTGCATAGGTTTCTTACGAAAATTCTTTTGCCAGGAGTTCCGAGAACTTTGTAAAATATAGTGGAGCGCAGTGTGTACTTTGTACAAAAAACGCACGCATTGTCGATCACTTCCGTCAAGAACTACATGACCTCCACACGATCGGTCGGCGATACACTTGAACAATGCACAAAATGATATTAAGACCATAATACTAACTTTTTGACACTTTTATAATTTGTCACCATAGCAAATATATGATATATGCTAAATTTAGGTGCTCTATACGGATACCGGAGGCGGCACTGGAAACATGACCAGACATCGCTGTCCAATCGGTCTCAGTTACCGTTCGAGCGCACATGGGTAACTGAATTACTAGTTTTATAACAGTTACGAAATATTTTTCTTCTTTTCTATCACTATGCTGCATTAGGAGCTGGAATCTATAGAAACTATGTGATCATGCTTACGGTATTTCTGACATTTGCCGGTAGCATTGCTGCACTTTTCACCTGATCTTCATTAGATGGCCATTACCTCCCGAAAACGGCGTTTCAGAGAGACTGTCACTGTCGGTCACGCCAAACGTTTACATTGCTTTAATGGCGCAAAAGCAATTCACATTTCCGGGTGGAGAACGGAGGATTTGATTTCAGACTTGAAAATGGATCGTGAGAGGACTTGATCCGACCACTATTAATGTTGTCCAGGAAGTGATGTGGGTTTTTGACCTCAGTTTCAATGCAACATATCTCAAAAAGTAAACGTTTTCAATCACTGGGCATCTTACCTGAAGCAGCTCCTGGGAATACTCTAAGGTACAGCATAGGATACTTGCGTGCCATATCCAGCTTCATCATAGGTGCATCGTTTTGTCACTCTTCATTATCTGCATTATTCCTGCCTTGATGATCAAAAGATTAGTTATGGGGAGGTTCCCTTGAGCAGTGTCATCTCATTACATCGCAGCGTCCTATCCATTATGCAGGACAACCTAATTATCTGAACTTATTTGTGGATTTTTTCCAGGCTCTAACTAATGTTAGAATTAGATACAATTTAGGTCGTCAACGGACACGGTGGAGGCAGGTCAACAGTCCTCGTTCGAGTCAACGGTGTCCGGTTTACAACGCATCACTGAAGCTCGTCCGACGCTCTCGCTCACTATTAATGTAAATTCGGTTGTTGTCTACTTGAGAGGTGTGGTGTGAATGTCAAAAAGGAAGTCGCTAAGGCCGATGTCAGACTTTGCGAATCGCGCGATTCGCTAGCGTCTGCGGTCGCGTCGCGGCCAGTGAATCACTCAATTGGCTGGTACCGCAACGCGACCGCGGACGCTAGCGAATCGCGCGAATCGCTAGTAGCGAATCGCGCGATTCGCAAAGTCTGACATCGGCCATACGATATATTGATCGCTTAACAAAAGATTCACAAAGATTATATTCAGGAGTATCGTTGATTACTGCATTCGAGTGTTTCGCATCACCTGAAATATGACGCTTACTGAAAATTGATTGGAACTTGCTTTTGATTGCTATGTGTGTATAGTGCCTCACGTGAAACTTAATCCAAACACAACAAAGGCTGCGATGACGGGAATTTCTTCAGCCCCAGGCGCGTTCGATTCCAATTTCGCGCTTTGTGGAACATTGCTTACTAATTACACCACCGAAGCAGCATTTCACCTTAGACAGTTTTCGAGAAAATTTAGCTCTGCGAGTAAAATTAGAGGTCAGTGGAGCAGGAATGAAAAGAAACATGCCTGCAACACTCCGCTCTTGCTATCTATGGTTGTTCATAATTCCCTGTTCGGCGTTTCTATTCAATTTTCAAGTGCCTTAACGTATATGGTTTCATACGAAAGCTTACGTATGGGTTAATCAACTAGGAATAAAAATAGGTCAGTGACTATAATGAATGATTATGCTTTACGATCCTCAAATGAACTCTGTAGCAAGGAGGACAACAGAGAAGATCAGCGCTGTGTTTGACCCAGTCTCTGCTACTGATAGGGTACTGAGCTAGTGGTCCAATCGCAACGGCAAAGACGAAACGAGCTATGAACTTCAACCTCATACTGGGCCTGCGGTCATTTTTGATGAGCACCCTAAATTGGGAGTGCCTCCGTACGTTGCTACCAGGGTATTGTAGCAGATACCTGAGCGCAGCCGATGCACCAGCACACGCCATCAGTATGGCAAGGACTGCTGCAGAATGAAGTTTTGATGGAAACCTTATGGTCCGGCCGACCATGAGCGGGAAGCACGCCTGACCATCTGGGGAAAATCCATTCTGGGACGGCAAAAGCAGAGCCTTCCCTAATCGGTCACCAGTGGAAATGAGTCATGAGTCCACTGCGACAACAACATGCGGCACGTCTGATGAACTTATAACTCGGTTCCAGAAAGTTCCTGAGATCGGGAAAAAGCGAGCTGGAAAGAAGTAATCTTCTAGTGGCGTGCGGAGCATGCACCAAAATCGGCAGGGTTTGCCGCTAAACATATAAATCGGCTCAGAGGAGGTTCAGAGACCGGGTAAAAAGTGGGAAGAGGTTGTGAGGAAGAAAAAGGTGGGTTAGGACATGCAACGAAATATTCGGAGTTTACCACGAGATTTGTAAATCGGTCCGGAGGCAGTCCGGAGACCGGGAAAAAACGGACCATGCTTGAGGAAGGAAGGCCAAAAGCCATCGGTGGATGGAGCATGGGACAAGCGGATAGAACCGGGCTTAGGTGTCTTTTTCTCGTAGTGTATCGAGGCCAAATTTGAGATTCACGCCGCATCATTCCATATCGCCGCAGAACTGTGTTGTGAGCGCAACTGCGACTCAAGCCGTTTGGACACGGTGAGCACCCGAACTGAGCGTGCATTATGATGTTTCCGCTGTAGTCACGTACAATGCGCGACGCATTGACGCGCCTCCCTCTTCTCGTTTTCTCTGCGCCCTCTCAACGAGGAGAGAATGCGTCGAGCAAACCAGGGTGAATAACGGTCGAGGATTTCCTCGACCATAGCTCTCTACCATGTGAGAGTAGTGCCGAGAGTGAACATCCGCGCGGAGAGCACAGACGGCACGCCATGGCGAGTGTGAATGTCCGCGCGAGAGATCGTGTCTGATCGGGCAGAGAATCCTCGACGTGCCAGTCCCCCGCAACCCGTTGAGCAAATCTCTTACCATTCACCGAGATCCTGGAGCCCACTAACTGCGCGCCGTTACCTGGAAGTAAATAATTGCCCGCATCGCCGTCTGCCTAGGTTGGCGACGTACCCGGAATGAAACCACCGCCTTGCTCAGCCGCGCCGCGCGAACGGCGTGCAGCCGCCACAATCGCTTGTCCATTTTGAAGATTCTGCCCGGAAGCCTGGTAGCCCCATCACTCGCATAAACATAGCGATTGCACTTCCAAAAAGTGTGTAGTTGTGCGCGCATTGGGTACATGACTCGCGTCCCCGCGAACATCGTAAATTTACGCTTCAGATTTGGGAACGTCACTGTTCCAAGCGCCAAGCCCGCAAGGGCCCCGACATAGCACTTCACAATCGAAAACCAAAGCCAATTTATCACACGGCTTCACCACCACTCGCGTCTATTACCGATTATCCCGCTGACTTACTCACCTCGTTGAACATTAGCGCTGATAAGCCGTGCATAAAATATCAGCTCAAATTGAAGCTCGTGAAATGGCGGATTCAAGGTGTAAATCGTAGCATAAGCGGTGTCAGTAAGCCAGTAACTGGTTTTGAGTCCATCCTAGCGCGAAAGTTTTCCCTCATAATTCAGCATTCTCTTTGGGATCAAGTATTGGAAGCTATAAAGGCGTTCATCCGGTAAGGGGGGCATTGTGATGCAGTGTCTATAGCTGCCCTCACCCCCACCAGAGTCAACCCTGCGTTGCGCAGTTCTCAACGGCCACGTTGCGCAGTTTCGCCCGATTAGACACGTTCTCTCGCGCGAACATTCACACTCGCATGCGAAACTGCGCAACCCAGGGCTGCCCTCACCCCCACCCCCTGAACTGGCTTCACTCCCCCTGGCTCACGGGGTCCCGTACTTCGAGAAACCTGTGCGCCAGGGGGAGTGTAGGCAGTCTAGGGGGGTGGGGGGTGAGGGCAGCCACTTGATGCCCCCTTACTGGATGAGAGCCGCTATCAATCATCAGAAAAGTCATCTCGTACTTCTTCTGACGTTGGAAATCTGCTTCTAGTCAATTTTGCAACTATGTAAGCGTTCCGATTTACTTCTATCCCAATTCCTAAGTTTCTCGATTAATTGGCTGGATCGACAAATCGCTTCAATAACAAGCATATGCAACACTTAAAGTTGAATGTCATTGCTGAGAGTATGAAAGAAATTTGAAAAAAGTCCCACAATATCGCACATGGTTAAAAATGTCGTCGAGCAATTGTTGGTTGAGAAAAATCATATGTCACGGGAACGTTGTGCTTAATAGATATAGGAACTCAATAAATAATACACACATGTTTGCATAATTTTCACAGTGTTGTATTCTCGGCCTTGAGAGCTGTGTAGAGATATCTTTCAAATCGAGTTATATTAAACATTGTTTTTGCCTGCTGAAAGGTTTGAGCCCCCTCTCCAATATCTATTAGAATGTAGCCGTAGCGGCTCACCAGCATTCAATATTGTTTTCTCTGTTAATCTCACTTAGATATCCACATAATCAACATGTCGTTTCACTAACTTCCACTGAATGCTAGGATTTCAGTCGGAAAGCAGCAGTTCGGCTCAACTGATTAGTCAGACGTCTGGTGAGGTGTCAATCGAGACGTGGATTCGAAGGCTTGCTAACGGTCATAAGGACATGCTTGGGGCTCTTATCTCATCGATCCGGATATTTAGTGTTGATTCTAAGCGAACACTAAACCAATATTCATTTAATCAGTAGTAGTAGCTAGAATCCAGTGAATGTGCAATGTCATAAGTCACTAACAAACGAGAAATAGCGAAAGCGAAATGGGGCAGTGGTGAGTACTGCACGACTCACTAGGCCTGGAGAACGAATTCAGCCCGGGTTGGCCATATCTCCTGTCACTGGTAATCGTTGACGTGGGATTTGTCGGAAACGTTGAAATATGGATGCAGTCGGATGAACAATTCGCGTTCTGACGGCGCTGCGATTAATCAGCCCTAAAGTTTTTCCTTTGACTTCACCTTTGTTTTTTCGCGGCAGCTGAGTTGCCCTCTTCCTGCGCACGCTGCTCTCCTTTCGTCTACGCTCACTTCCATTTGCGCTTTGAACACTTGGTGGAGTGGCTGGAAAGTGGGTTTGGCTTGTATGGCAGTTCGCACTTGAAGGGATATCATCATCATAACCTCTTTTGATGCCGCCGGTTGCACAAAATTGTTCCATAGTTCTTCTCCTACCACTCTTATAATCACCCCTCACCTACACTACTGGCCTCACGTACGTCGAGTAGAAGAAAAAGGAATTCACTGAGAAGGGAGGTCGTTCAGGGTGTGCCAAGCTTTTTCAAAATGGTTTCTTGCATGATATAGGGGCACATGCGGGAACCACAGAACCATGGTTCATTTTTCCTGAACGGCCCTCTGAATACCAGAAAAGGGGTCCCTAGTTCGATTCCTCGTGGTGACAAATTTTTGCATTTCGAGTTGACGTTTCCAAAATTCGCGCAAAATGGAGTTAGCATGAATAATTAGTACCATATTCATGATTAGGACCGTCAGTAACCCTTACAAATAGACTTTGATTAAAAACTGGGTGAAAAAGGTGTGACACCAAAACGACCCCACTGTGGTGGCCTCAGTGACCACACAGGAGTGAAGCTGATAGCGCTCGTAACTTCGAAGGACTGCTTGAGCCAAGCTGGCATCAAAGCAGGTTGTGCATCGCAATGCCCCTCTTACTGGAATACTCCATTGAAGCAATACATGGTATTTGATAAGCCGATACACATTTTGAAAACTGGATGTGGCGTTTTTAATGGTACTCGCATTTCATCAAATTTCATCTCTTTCAAATCATTTCATCTCTTTCTCGCGCTTGTTTCATTGATTAATATTTTTCATTTTCTTTGTAGGCTATAATTTGTCTCCACGCATCGATTGCAGGGCAAAGGGTTCCGCGCTTTGTTGGATCGTATGTGGCAGCTGTCGAAACGATCCAGCACTTCACCACATGACGTCTTTCCTGACACGCAAATGCTACAATCGGTGAGTAGATTTTTGATGTTGATACGAATACCACATTGCAGTTCGCATAGTAGGCTGGTTTCCTCGCTTTGCGTGTTCCCCTAGAAGGCAGGCGTAGTAATTTTACCTTCTCGGCTGATAGGGTTGCGGGTCCCCCACGTTTGTAGAGCTCCGATGTTCATAATTTCCTCTGAAGTAATATTTAGTTTATATTTTAGCTCATATTCAGATGGTTTTTTCTTTGCTGACTCCATTATTTACCATTGATTTACTCTTTCTTCCGTTCTTTTCCCTTTTCAATCACTCATCTCGCCCTTTTCTTCCTCAGTTTGAATGATGTCGTCTATCTCCTTCCTCGCAAGCATCTTCTTAGCCTTTCTATACGACTCTGCCAATTTGCTACTTTGATATGATTGACTTTATGGAACGCATTTTCTCCTTTTAGGGGTCCCTTCTAAAAGTGCTTCAGAAGTATAGATGACATGGGTAAACGTTCGATATTACACTTTTCCCATGATTGCTGAAAAAACCTTCCTTCTATATCGAATAAGCTGTCCTTTTAATGTGCTTCTTGGAATTGGCTAGCAGAAAAAAGGATAATTATCGTGACGATACTCGTTATGAGGTTTCTATTAGCTCCTTTGTGTGTTCAAACAAAGTATTACTTTGAATCAGTCATTCAGGTTAGGGAATAGTTCCCTTAATTGGAACAAATCGCTTTTAACACATTGACGACAACGTGGGATACATACAGTAGCGGTCGAAAGTGTTCGCCGAAATGATTTTTAGTGCATTATTTTTTCTCGCAACGCCCTCCAAAGATTGATATACTATGTTTTCTAGTGTTTTTATATCCTCAAGCTTGAAGAATCAGGATATTCAAAAGAAAAATTTTCGAGGTCACCATTGATTTTTTCCACAAAAAAAGAACGAAAAATCGTTTCGGCGAACACTTTTGACCGCTACGGTATACCCGCACTTTCGCTAGGACGAGGCTCGTTCTAATTAATTTGTGCCTCCATTTTCACCTTCCCAAGTGGTCCATATGTATTATCGGCTGCAGAAAATAGTACACTTCTTAATATAATGAAATTGTTAGTGAAGTGAATCACTATTGATGAAAAATTCTAAGGAAAGATATGTAGGTGCCACTGAACGGCGGTCGTCAATGTGTTTGATGCCATCAATCTTCGTTTCGCCGGGGTTCGTCCTCTTTTAAACATGTTCTGGTCATCTGCTCATAAAATTTCTAAGCCTTGAGATTTTTTAGTCAAGTAGTAAGGTAACTGTGGTAATACTTCCTAAAATGCCAAGCAAGTAATTTAGGAGAGTAGTAAGGATTGCGGCCTTTTTTTCAGAGAATTTTTTTCTAGCGGTAAAATCCGATCTGTGGAGCTTATGTTCAGAGTCTCGCTGAGATTTCAAGATCTGTGCGAATCTTTAATATATCCAGAAAATCCTGCGATACTTAGTCCAAGGTTTTCGATTGCACCTTCTTTCGTTGAATGGGATATTCTATCATTAAGATTAAGCTACTACCTACATCGAAAAGCGCCGGGATTTCTCGAATTATAGACCGATTTAATACGATACAATTATCTTTGATATCTTAGTATGTGGCTAGCTCCTCACCGTTTTCTGTGAAGTTGCCCGCTGGCCGTCACATTTATGTAGCAAAGCCCTCGATATTGGTTAATAACTGAGTCGCATGATTAATTACCAAGCCCACACCATTTTGTTGTCACTGGAGATTTTGAGTGAACTCTTCAAGGGTTAAGCCTCATTTTCTCGCAAAAGCGCAGATTGAAGCTCTTAATGCATTTTGTATGATGGTTTTAAAATTTATATGGATTCTATGTGGCAATAATGTTAATAGCTGAAAAACCGTTTTCAGGCATTACAAACCAACTTGCGGTTTTGCATGGATGATCTGAAGAACGAGTTGTCGAGAACGTCACAAGGTGTTTGTCTGGCTGTAGAGTCTCTGTCCTACTATGACAAGGTTCGTCTCATTTCCTCGTCACTTAAAAGTGTGAGCGTAATATTCGAGTGTTCTAGCCTTGAAAAAGTACTTTGTTGTTATTTCTTCTCCTTCGACTGAGGGATTTTCTAGGTCGAATATTTGCGCTTGAGCCTGAAATCACAGTCGTTCTTCCGCTCTCTTACGACGCTTCTGATCGTTGTATCGTAGCGGTTATACAAAAATCATGCCCTAGTCTCACTTGCATAAGCAACTTTGGTGAAACAAGTGACTCAAGCAGGTGTAAGCATGGTCCCGAAAACTCTCCTTTTCCATCCAAGGACCGAGAACGTGCCGCTTAACGGTTCAGAGAAAGAGCTGGAAATTTTCGAGTGACTGAAACGCTTAGATTCTAGAGACCTCACATGAAAATACAAAATCCTAATGTGACAAACAATAAGCTGAACATTGCTCCCACCGGTTTTTCAATGTTCGATAGGTGTGACTCATTTTAGCTACCTGATGCATTTATTCAAAGCCGATTCTTGATCCTTAGGAGGTTTTCTTTTGTGAAAAGAAAATACCTGAATAGCCCTACATTTTCAATGAGCTATTCGATGCATCAAGAACAGCTATAATGCTTACTGTATGTTTTTGTGCCAGCAGGAAACTGCGCTGGTTATTTACTTCCATTTTAGGAGTTTCGCGTTGTCCATGGATCGCGAATAAGCCACGACTGGAAATGGAGGAGTAACGTGCTCGGGTAAGTTTAGTGCCCTTTGACTAAAAAGAAGAATGAAGCGTAGGAAGTTGGACTGATCGTGTCAATGACGAAACGTTTTTCCTGCTTGACTATTTCCTCGTCAAAGTCATATCACAGGGCATATACGCGACTAGTGAGCTCGTGTAGAGAAGGGGCGTGGTTTGAATGATGCAAGGATGCCATCTCTCACTCAAATTTGTTCAATCGGGGTTCGATTTCTTTGGCGTCACGATGGTAGCGCTTCATGCACGCCACGCCCACTGTGGGCGGGGCTCCGCTTAGGCTGATGTATGTTTTTTACTTCTCGAGATATGGTATACCCATCCCAAACTTGACCTGGACCCTGTAGGTTGTTGTTCGCTTGATACCGAATTTCGTGACAGACGGACAGACAGACATAGCGCATTATATATAGTAGGGATGTTTATCCGCTCAATTCCTGTGCAACATTGCAAGAAATACTTGATGTCAGACGGTTATTCGCTCGTTTTACAGCGGACGTTAATACCCCAGAATTTTCATGCTATGATGGGAATGGAGATCATTTCAGAGTATTCAAAGTGCATGAGAATCAGACGTTGGCTGAAGTCGTCAACACCGTCATAAATAACTACGATCTCGACAAAAATCTGCTAAGGATCACCTGTGCCGGTGGTGGCGAAGAGTTCTCACCCGCTAAGTCATTTCCTGATATCAAGGAAAAGCTTCGAGAGGTAGGACATTTTCAGACGTTATTCACCGGTGGAGTGTATTCCTTTAAACTAAGGAATCTTGTACATAAGCTGAGCTTTCATAAGGTGGTTGAAAGCGATAGCGGCAAGCGGTGACCGTGCGTGTTATACTAGGTCGCGCATAGGCGTTATGGCTCACCTTTTTTGAGTTGCAGAAGCTCAAGCCCTACCGCACATTTAAGGCCGCCATCGTCGCGCTGCAATCGGAATTCGTGTACCCACTAGAAGGCCCGTTACGCGGCAAGAAGGCAGAGTCGGCGGACGAGTTGCAGCGCGTGGTGTGCGATGTAGGACGTGCAGTGGGACACTCTATTTAACTTGACGCGAAATCCCTATAGTACGCGCGCGACTCGTCCGCTGACTTTGCCTTCTTGCCGCGCGATGGGCCTCCTGGGGGCACCCTCGGGATTCAATCCACGCCGCTATATGTCTTGAATTTTTTAGTGCTTGAAGAAGGCACAGACACTGGAAGCTTCAACAGAGTTCGGTTTTTTTACTGCAGATCTTCTTTTCGGTATAGTGCAGCAAGTTGAGATATGTTGTCTGTTATATTGTGTTAGTTTTTGTGCCTTTCGAGGTTGGTCGGTGGAACTTTTATTAAAGCGGCCTAACGTTTCGACTTGATCGTCGTCTTCGGAGGCCCTGGTTCCACCGTTTGTGCGGAGAAATCCGCTACCACACTTTAGCGTTGACTAGTAGCAAAGGCTTGTCCGCTGAGCTGCCATCCTCATCATTCGCGGCATGCGTCACGTCTGCACCTTCTCGCGTACGACGTGCTCTCTCGCGCTTCCACTCTCCTCGCAGCGACTTGTTACTAGTCAACGCTAAATGTGTGTAGCGGATTTCTCCGCACAAATGGTGGACCCAGGGCCTCCGAAGACGACGATCAAGTCGAAAGCGTTAGGCCGCTTAATAAAACTGTTCCACCGACCAACCTCGAAAGGCACAAAAAACTAACACAATATAACCTACTATGCAAGGTTGCAAGGTTGCAAGAAGAGAGAAGCTGGAGAATATGTTGTCTGTGTTCCGCAGATCAGATGCTGCCACAGCTTAATCTTGCATCAATCGAACCGGGGTGGTAAATTCTCAGTTAACCCATTCGCGACCGCGCGGGATTGCGCAATAGCAGCAGAGTCAGGAGATTTTTCTTCAATAAAATTGAGTGGAGGAGATTTCCTCTGCCCAGGGCTGGCGTAGATGAATGAGGGTATGAAGATTCTTTTCATGGAAAGAAAACTTTCCAAATTCCATTTGAAACCCGGCAGCCACAGTGGATACCATTGTCCCGAGTGAGATCTTTGTCAGCCACCGGTGGCTGCCATTGTCACGAATGGGTTAAGAAAGTAAGGTGTTTGCTTAATTGTTGACTAGGGCCTGTATAGGTGGTCACCACGTCGCAGTCGCTGCTCTCGTAGCATTAACCGTACAGAGGTGGTTTTCGCGATCATTCTGATATGGTGTTTTCTGACGCAACAAACATCACCATCATTATAGCAGCGAAGTTGAAATCGCATCTCATGGTTCCTGTTCACGGGCCAGCACTCGCTGCCGTGGAGGGCGTCCCCGCAGTTGCTGTAGAGTCCTCCCTTTGAGTGTTCTGAAGCACTGTCGCCTGCAGATGGATGTGTGGACTCTCTCCCTCCCCAGCCCCCCCCCCCCTTATGTGTGCCGCATTTATCCGTGGTTTTTTGACTGGTCCATGCAGCGCCAGCGGCAAGAACATCTTAGGTATCGGAAGTCGGAGCTCACAGTTTCCGGGATGTCACACCCTCTCAGAAACGTGTCATTCTATTGAACTTTCCTTTCAGAAGAACTGTTTTGCGTATTTTGAAGACTTCGGTATCATTGACAACTTTTCAGGTCCTTCATGCTGTTCTGTCCTCCTGCTCTGTTCCGCTACTTCCGTCAATAGCATTGGTCGAGCAAATCGTAAAAACATTTCTCGAATCAGACGTTCGGCTGCCGTTCCCGTCTCAGTGCAGTGGTGATGACATCTTCACTTTCTACCCACTTCTTCGAGATTTCAACTTCCACTTCCATGACATCAAGGATATCATCCAATCTAAATTTCAAGGTGATTTTGAAGGCGTACCATTCTCATTATTTTCATTTTTTTCGATTCTTCTGCTGATGATCAGAATATTCCATACTGCAGTGAGCGAATATGTTCCATGTTTATAAAATGTGCTTTCAAGGATTACAAATGTCCTTCGCAAGTTTGAACGCGGAAAAAAAAAAAAAAAAAAAGAAAAAGAAAAAAAAAAAAAAAAAAAAAACCAACCAAAAAAAAAAAAAAACATTTACGAGAGTTGACGGCGCGTCGAGGGGGAGTTCTTAGCGACCATTTCAAGAGCAACGTTTCGAATCTTGGCGTCAGTGAGCAACCAATTTTCACCAGGGGTGCGCAATTTCTTGTTCTACTTGTATGACCGAGTATAGGGTTTTATTCAGGTGTTGCCGGAGTGGTACGCTTTAATGCATGAATGTCATCCCTCTTCCGAGGAAACGTTACCATTACTGCGTGAGCTTAAACTGGTAAGTGGTTGTCTATTATTTGCTTGCCTTGTGGTCTTCGTTCTACTCACTTCGAACATTGACGATTTCTAGAAAGCCAGCGAACTTCTGATCAGAGAACAGACGTCGACAATAACGGTTGAGCATCGAATTGCAGCGATACTGAATCCACGACATAATAGGAAATTGAATCTCATTTGTACAGATCATGAACGGTAAGTCTTTGTTACCTCGGCCATTAGGGTATCATTTTAGTGAGTGTAGCTTTTGATCGGAACTATGTTGTTGTACAACTGGAAAACTATTAGCTTGCTTTATTTTTGTAATATTTTTAATAATCTAGATATACCACTGTATACCCTGGTCCACGGACTACTTGAACTCAGCCCTTTAACCGCCTCTGCGCTCTCTCGCGGGTCCCTCTCCTCTCCAAGGCTTAGTCCTAGGGCATTCACCCGTTCTCTAATCGTCTGTGCTCTAGCCATCGCGGCAGGACCATTGAGGAAAAATCAAGTAGTCCGTAAACCGTATACCCTCAGCAGTGAGGAATAGCATAGGTTCCCAGGACCTGACCGCTAGATTTTTGGCAAACTGACAATAAGTTTCATATTCACTTGGCCATGTTTTTCATTTGGTGAATAGCTTACACATGGTTACGAAGTTGCCGTCAACGGAAATCTCTTATTTTGTCAGACCATACGCTTGAACATACTTAACCCTTCTTTACCCCGCCTTTACCGGCCTTCGCCACACTGAGTTGGAATTGTGTGTAGGAAAGGAGTAGGAAAACGTGTTGATACATTGTATTTATTTAGTGCCATCCACGTTTTGTGTATGCATTATCCAAAATTTACGAATACCAATTGAGGCGGTCTGGCCTAAAGATAACGCCAGCCTATTGAGGCCAGTCAAAAAAAAAACGCGATGTCGTCAGTGTATAAACTGTTCTTTACCCCGTTTTTCCTCTACATTCAGCAGTATTTATGAAGTCATTCACATATACTAAAAAGATCATTTCCGGCCACGCCTTTTCATTGTAGTGTATTGTAATCCTTTTTTTCTCTTCACTATCAATCCACTTTACACTCCTATTTCCATACATGTTTGATCGTAGGGCATGTCTTAGAAGGCGCAATTTACGATGAAAAGGCAGCTCATTAGAAATAAGGGTAGAGGTGGTCAGTGGTGCAGGATGAAGAAAAACCATTTGAAACGGCCGAACCCGAGAAATGGGACCCCTTCCTTGCCCGTTGATTTCCGCATTGATGCGACTCTCATCGCTGCTGCCCTCTTCAACGCCAAT